CCCCCCCGCATCCCACCTCGCCATGAACTCCTATCCAGCCGACCCGTACTCGCAGCCGCAGTCCTCGCAGGTGGTCCTGTATGGCGTGGTGTCGGCGGCGCCGGACTCCGCGCTGGCCATGTCGGCCGCGGCGCGACACCCCCTGTCGCACCTGCTCCCGGCTGGCAGCATCCCGGACCTGGCCAGCGACCGGGAATTCGCCGCCAGCCTGGCCCCGGCCGATGACGAGGCGTACGCCATTCGGTCGAAGTCCTCGGCCAGCGTCGGTCTGTCCGGGCTCTTCCTCTATCTGACGGCCATGTGTGGCCCGCCGATGCCGGTGTATGAGCATGTGGTCACTTGCACATCGGCCGTGGAGAAGGCGGTGCCCCGGCTGACGCGGCAATTCCAGCAGCCCCCGGCGCCGGAGGGGTCGGGCTCAGACCCGCGGACCCGGTGGCCCGCCCTGCCGGCGGGGCCGGGCATGTATGACACGGCGGTGCTGCGCCTGCGCGCGGCCATCGCCCCGCCACAGGGGTTCTTCCAGGCCCCGGTGGGCGACAGCTCGGGGCCCGGTCGGTCGCCCGAAACCGCGGAACTCGACGAGGGGCCCCCCTTCGCGGAGGATGTTCAGCCGGAGTCGCCGTTTGCCCAGGCCGGGCCGGGCCCCGGGTCGCGCCCGGCCCCGCCGTCGCCGCCGGCAGTGCACAACCCCTTCGGCCTGCCACGGGAGGACATGACCCCGGCCGATGCCGCGGCCAATGAGCTGGCCTGCCTCAGGGAGGTGGCCCGGGCGGCGGCGGCCGCTCGCGGCTCGAACTCCTGCACGCGGGATTACACGTATGCTTTTGGCTTTGGCCGGGCCGGGCCCGGGGGGCTGGTCTACCGGCGGCCGATGGACACCCCGGCCAGCCGGGCTCTTCAGCGGCGGAACCTCATTCGGCTTTTTGCGCTGGAGCGCATGCCGCACCGGGCGGCCGCGGCCCGGGCGCTGGAGGCCCGTGCCCGGGCTCTTGGCGCCCCGGCCCCCGGGCTGTCGCTGCTCCCGCGCCAGTATGACATCTGGTATTTCGGGAATCTGGACCCGGTTCTGTCGGCGGCTCGGCGAAACAAGCTCCACCCCAGTGGCTATGACTCGGGGCTCGGGGAGCGTGCCGATGTTCGGCCCTGCTCGCGGATATCCGTCGCCGCGGGGAGTTGCGCCTGGTCCACGGTCGAAGCGCTGGGGTATATGTGCGTCTGCCAGGAAACGGGCCCGGGTTTTGTCATTCGGTCCTTCTCTTTTGCAGTGTCTACATGTGTGTGTGTGTGTGTGTGTGTGTGTGTGTGTGTGTGTATGTGCATGTGTATGTATGTGTATGTGCATGTGTATGTGTATGTACATGCATACATGTGTACACGCGTACAATCTGTACATGCCTACATGCGTACATGTGCGCATGTACACACACATGTGCTTATGTCTGTATTTGCATCTGTGCCTGTGCTTGCGTGCACGCTGTCTCCTCAACTGACAAACATCCCTTCCGGTACCTTGGGGGCGAATCGGCTATACACGCATGCGCAGCCCCACCTATGAGTATGTCCGCCGCGGTGTGCGCTTCGTCAACCACTCCACCGTCATCACCATCTCCCAGACGTTCGAGGTACGTCGAAATACCCAGTCGCCCCTTTGCCCGGGGAAATACCCCCCCCCCCCCCTCTCCTGTAGTTGTGTGGACACGCACCCACGGAGGGGACCATGCACCTCGGCATAGCTCGAGCGCCAGCACGACATCACCTCGCAGCAGATCATCGCCCCGCCCAACGGGCTGCCCCTGCCCGGAACCGACCAGAGCTCGCCGCCGGAGCACCTGTGGCTGGTGGAGCTCGAATCGATCACCCTCAACCAGAACATGAAGCCACTGATTGCCGAGATGGAGCGCCTGGCGCAGA